CTTGGGCTGACCTTCGGGCCAGGCTCAGGCCTATTTGATCTATTCTCTTCAGAATCCATGTATTTAGCCACACTCACTGCCTTCTTCTACTCTATGGAAAGTCCAGGGACGTTACATTGCTCTCCCTTGAATGTGTTGGTTCGGTCTAATATAATGTCTTATTCTACTCGCCATAATTTTCTTTAATGCATACATTCTACAGGAGAAATATGGACATTAGGCATAGCTTTCAACACGAACGTCACTCATTCAGGCAATAATTTTGGTAAAAAACTGGTGGCCAGTTCCTACTGGAGAACAATATTCTCTATCGCCAGCTCAATAGGCCTTTCGCATATGCCCTCGCGGTTAGCCACGCCCTCCATCCGCTGCGATAAACGTAAGGAGATGTAGTTGACATCAACATCTCTGATTCCGTTAAACGACTTCAATAGTATCTCGATCCTGTCTAGCATAAATACTGCTTCGAAGTGTATAGTTTTCATTAGCCACCATTTGTGCTTAGAACGCTAGAACATTAATCAAAAGTTAAATCGCTTATAAAGGACACGGAAGTTTAACAAGCTTCCGTGTGAGTTGGTACAGGTCTTTCCTGCCTACCTCCAGGAAAGGTTTATTTGGCATCTTAAACAGATAATGAAAAGGAGGGAGGTGTCGATGGGACCCTTGGATGTCTCTTCGCAGTACTCTTGAACCGGATTTGCATTCGAATTGGTTAACTGCCTCTCTCTATAAGGGATACTTATACGCAATGATATCTGTTGCAGTAGGGATTCGCGGAACCTAGTGTTATCAACATTCGAAGTAGATAAGTTTAAAAACCATTACATGAAATGTTATTTTATGCAGTTCGCGTCAGATTTAGCTGCACTTGTCATTATCTCGACTATGGGACATAAGACTGGGCTGTATGTGCACATCAAGATCAAAGTAAAAATCGCTGGATTTTAGAAGCAAATTAAATGAACAATGCATGAAGGCCTTTGCTACCATTTGTGTCCATCTCATCCACCTACGATTATCCTTAGGAGACTTTATCATTAGCGTGTTTACTGGTACGGGCGAGCATAAAAATGCGGCGACATGAGGAATAGAGTGTGCCATGGCTAATGCAAGGAGTGAGAGTGTAATACTTTGTTTGTGTGACCACATGACGTTTGACGGTCACTTTAGGAGTTGTCTGGCCCTTGTACACGTGGGCTGGCCTTCGGGCCATGCCCAGGCCCATTTTCCCTGTTGTTGCATTTACTGACTTCTAATGCCGGCCAGGAAGTCTTGGA